ACCCCTACCCCTACCCCTACCCCTACCCCTACCGCTTCCGGAGCCCAAAGCGCCACAGCAACTGCTGCCCCTGCGACGCAGACCGGAGTGCTAGAGTTCCTCTTTCGAAGGTTTCCCCAACAGCCACATAGCTGGATCTAATTCAGCCGCTGTCCAATACACAGTTTTGGTTACGTACAAAATCCGTACAATATGTGATTCGCACAGTGGGTCGTTCACACGTCATAAGTATCAAATCAGAACCTGTTAAGAATTAACGATAGTAATACACACAACTTCTACAAGTTAAAACGAAAATAAGCTTGTAAATTACTTTCAAGAAAACATTTGCAGAGAAGACAATTAATCTAAACAATAGCTCAAAAGTTATATTTTACGGCTCTTACACAGTACCAATAATTCGTATACAAGGCAGTCTGGATGCCTCAACACGTCAACTATTTCTTCCTCAGAACCATTGAATTTAAAAATGAAGCCATGGTCGTCCACATAATTTACTTCATTTGTTTTTATTGTCGAAAATGTTTGTGGTGCTCCGCGCATTCTGTGCCACTGTGTCTCTCCTCCTGCGCTTCTTGTGAGAATGGGCAGATCACATTGCCAAACACCGGTAACACGACTCGCATTGAGATGCGAAAGTTTTAAGACTACGTATAAAGACGAAATGATCAGTATTAACACAGTGATAACTAGGCTATCTCACAGAAAAGTGTAGAAAATACGAGTATTTTAATAATTTGATCATAAATTCTTGTTGCATCTGCACAGTGTATCTTTTTACAAAAGCGTTCCATGTTGTGTCGCCATCATTACTTGTGACATCCTGCTCGAGGAATTTCAACACTGCAATCCAATTCAATCCTTACAGAAACTCTGATGAATATTATTTTTTGAAATTCTACTTTTTTCTTTCCACTCTCGCGAGTTAATCATTAACAAACTCTTTAAAAATTTAAGAATTGGGCAGGAAAAATCTTCTTGAATACAAAAGTGATAATTTAAGATTTTCTCTCCTTTGCTTCTATATTACCTATACTTGAAAGTCTACCTATACCTAAAACTCCGCCCAACTATTTTCTTTTCTTTGTAATCCTATCTTTCCTATTTTTACTTTTACAATCTGGTAGCGTACTTATGAGTTCCATTCGACCGCCAAACAAATTGTTTTGAAAATGAATTCTTGTAATAAAAATACTGCAGGTCTGAGTGCCGTGCTTGGTGATTGAACAAGTTGATACGACTTTGTTGACGATGATTAAAAAAGTTTAACAAAGAAAACGTGTATGAGTTGTTGATTTAAAGTCTGAATTAAGAATGGATATCTGAATGTAGATTATTTAGGACGCGATTTGATGTTTTTTGTTTTCTTCCTACAATTTTTTTTCCTACAAGATCTCTAATTTTAGATTATACATAATATACAAATTAAATTTTATAATTTTCAGCAATGTTTCTAAAATTTACTTGCCCTAGTTTTAAAAAATGTTTAAAAATCTTTATAATTAACTGTTGTAATCTGTTTAGTATTTTTTAAATATTTAATAGTTTGGTGGTTTATTTCAAATTTTAGAGTGTATTACTACTCATCTGGGGGTAAATGTGGTGACATCTGACAACACTGTTAGAAGCTTTGGGTATGGTAAAAAAATCCATATTACAAGATACATTTTTTGTAAGCCCATTTGAATTTCAAGGAATTCTAGATATCTTTGTCGGTTTTATAATTATCACAAAAAATGAATAAAACTTTAAAATTATATTACAAATCTAAACACACTGTTTATATACGTACTCTCACTATCTTTTCCATTATGGGCATTAAACTTTTCAGCATTAGTAGACTTCCTATCCTATTTTCACTTTCTAAAGGGGCTGAGGACGTCCCGTTGTGACCCTTTTCTCATCAGTCGCAAATAAACGTCATCCAAGACTTCCTTGAGCTGATTGAAAAGACGTCTTACGCATTTCCTATTGATTGGTATCATTGAGAGACCATTGCAGGTCATAAGTCACTGGGACACATTTCGTTTTTATTACTGTCCAGCTACAGAACCAAAATTAAACACGGTGCACTGTCTGGAGGAATTTTCTATAGTTCTGCTGCTGTGATCGCTAATTATCAATGGATTCTCTCATAACTACCAGCCAAATGCCGGAGCATCACTGCTTTGTTAGGCCGCTTGCCCACGCCGCGGCAGAAGCGCTCGAATGTCAATCATCAGGGCTCTTCGCCGACGACGGACAAAGGGACCGAAGCTGGTACCTGCTGCGGTCCCTTTGTCCGTCGTCGCCGGAGGGTCGGCGAAGAGCCCTGATGATTGACGTTCGCGCGCTTCTGCCGCGGCGTGGGCAAGCGGCCTTAGGGTCCGTAATCGTTGCTGCTGTAGCAAGTCGCAGTCGTCTATTTTTCGTCAAAACCTGGGGTTCGCGGTTCGCGGCCCGGCGTGTCATGTCCGTGCGCCTTCCTCCTTCCTCCGGTGCACAGAGCGTGCGTCGCCGGTTACATCCGCAGAGCCCTGCGGCGCAACACGAGGGGAAACGACCTTCCGCCTTTGCACCCCGCAAGGGAGAGGGCCGACGGTCGCGAGGCCTGAGGCTCTTAGGCCGGTGGAGGAAGTAACGTTCAGTCGGACCAGAGTTATTCGGCGGTACTCACGTCGTTAGCTTTGAAAAGGTGCTTCTCCAACGACTATTAGGCAGGTTCGAGCGAGGGATTCGTCAGCCGGCATCCACTGTGAAGCGGCGCAGTGGATCTCAAACCTCCTATAAAAGTCCAGACGGGGATCATAAACCCCCTGTCAGGTTGCACTAGTTCCGGAGGTACTCACGTCGATAGCTCCAAGGTGGAGGCAGTGAGGAGACGGGTTGGAGGCCCCTAGCTACTTGAGGCTTGGTCCGGGTGGTTCCCACTTGGGCACTGCAGTGACATCAGTTGATGACCTGAGCCACCTCTCCCGGTTGAAGGCAGCCGCTTTCCGGAGGGGAAAGCGGCCGACGGTTCCCATCGGTAGTGTTCTGGAGTTTCTTCTGTCAATACTGGGCGAATTCAGGGTCAGTACCCTCACAATTGAGCCATGGACCGCGCGAGATCTTTTCTCTCTTATCCCAGTGCACACACGCACGCACACGCCCACACACACACCCACCCACACGCGCACGCCCACACACACACCCACACACACACGCACGCCCACACACACCCACACACGCCCACACACACCCACACACGCCCACACACGCACACTTCCCCCTCTTCTCTCTCTCTCTCTCTCATACGCGCTCGCTCGTCTGCCCGTCCGCTCATCTCACCCAGCGCTCCCACCCATCTTCTCCGATTCGCCCTGCGGTCGCCTGTCCGCCTGACTTTCGTCGTCTCGTCTGTCGTGTCTCTCTTCTCTCTCTCTCTCCTCTCTCCACCCTCCTCGCTCGTCTGCCCGTCCGCTCTCCTCACCAGCGCTCCCACCCATCCTCTCTGACTCGCCTGCTCTGCCGCCGCTGGCTCTTCTCTCTCTCTCTCTCTCGCTCGCCTGCCCGTCCGCTCTCTCACACTGAAACGCCACGCCCCCCCCGTCTCTCTCCCTTGCACTGCCCGTCGTTTTTGCTTCCGTCAGGACCTGTTCTGTGGAGGCTGCGCTGCGGCCCCCCTGGAGCAGTTTGCCACCATAATTGAGGGCGCCCCGTCGTCGTGATTGGCTCATTACTGCGGCGAGCTTCGGGCGTCTCGCGCCCACTGTCAACAGGCACATGCGCGCGGCAGCGGACCTGAACGTGCAACAGTACCAGCCCTTAAAACGAGCCGGCTCTTACATAAAACTAGCCCATAACAATAGTGTATAGGCGATCATTTTATTTTTCATAAATGACTTCCACAGTTTTGCATGCTTGATTACTGTAATAATCTTTAAACTTCTCTTGGTGTTTTTCTCTATGTTACTGCTGTATAGAGTAGGCTTCTCTGAAATGACATAAGTAAAAATGTAATAGTAATGTTCAAGAAACCTCATACCTCTCATCTTACGGTGTGAGAAACGTTTTTTTAGGATTGTTGGCTCGTAAGTATGTATTTTGTGTGCCATAAGAACGCTTTGTTTAAGAAATCCTGAATGAAAAACGCCGGACATACACTCTTTAAAAACCTTGGTGTAATAAACGATATGGGTAAAAACTGACCCAAAACAGAAGGATGTCACTTTTGGAGCACGACGAAGAAGAGATATTAGAAAGGGTAAACATCTACTATTTAACTCTTTATTAAAGTTGTATATTATTTGACTAATTTTGAATAAATGAATGTAAGTGAAAGGTTGAATGTATTTTTTTAATAGTTTAATTCTTGACATAAGTGTAATGGAAACACGTACTTTTTCCACCGTAAAAATGTCGTCGATGAACATAGAATAAACTAATTGTTCACTTAATGCATATAAGAAAATTGCATGCAAGCACAGATCAATTTGAGAAGTAGATGTCATAGTCGAAACCTCATTCAGTTAAATTATATAATTGAGTGTGTCACGCGCCGCCCGCAATAACACGAGAACAGGGCCAAGCAGGTCCGAACCGTGACTCTTGATCTTCTATATAAGACCGCCCCCCCAGAGGGAGTGCTTTTCTATTCTGATTCACGCTCTTTGCAGCGAAAACCTTCCCGGCCAATAATAGGCGACGGAAACAGTGGCGGATAACTTGAGAAGATGCAGCGCCGAGGTACAGCGGTGGGCTGGCATGGTTTTTCTCTTTCTCCAGTTCCTCCTTCAGCTTCTCCCGTAAACAGACCATGCTTATGCTACAGTGTGTTAGGTGGTTCGTAGTGCGACATCTTTAGTGAGTGCTTCACACAATTTTAGTTGTGCCTGGTGTGGTGTGTGGTGTGGGGCTGTGTGGTTGTGTGTGTGGGGGTTGGGGTTGGGGGTTGGGGGGTGGGTGTGGGGGTGGGTGTGTGGGGGGTGGGGTGTGGGGTGGGGTGGTGTGTATGGGTGTGGGGGGGTGGGTGTGTGGGGGTGGTGGTGTGGTGTGGTGGGTGGTGGGGGGTGTGGTGTGTGTGGGGTGTGTGTGGTGGTGGGTGGGGTGCGTGGGTGTGTGGGATGTGTGTGGGGTGGTGTGTGTGGGGTGGGGTGGAGTGGGTGTGTGGTGGTGTGGGTGGTGTGGGTGTGGTGTGGTGGGTGGTGTGTGGGGTGGTGTGTGGGTGTGGGTGGGTTTGTTGGTTGAGTGTGGGTGGGTGGTGGGTGTGGTGGGTTGTGGGTGTGGGTGGTGTGTGTGTGTGTGTGTGGGTGTGTGTGGTGGGTGTGGTGGGTGTTGGTGGGGTGGGGTGGTGTGTGTGTGGGTTTGTGGGTGTGGGTGGTGTTTGTGGTGTGGGGTGTGGGTGGGGTGTTTGTGGGTGTGGGTGTGTGTAGGTGGGTTGGTGGTGTAGGTGGGTTGGGTTGTGTGTAGTGGGTGTGGGTGTGGGTGGTGGGGTGTGGCGGTGTGGTGTGGGCGTGTGTGTGTGGGTGTGTGTCGTGTGTGTGGGTGTGGGCGTGTGTGTGGGTGTGGGTGGTGGGTCGTGGGCGTGTGTGGTGGGTGGGGGCGTGTGTGTGGTGTGGGTGGCGTGTGTGTGTGGGGGGGCGTGTGTTGTGTGGGGGACTGTGGTGGGGGCGTGTGTGTGTGTGGGGGCGTGTGTGTGTGGGGGGCGTGTTGTGTGTGGGTGGGCGTGTAGGTTGTGTGGCGTGTTGTGCCGTGTGTGTTGTGGTGGGCGTGTTGTGTGTGTGTGGTCGGTGGGTGTTGTGTGTGGGCGTTGTAGGTGGTGTGTGTGGCTGCGTGTGTGTGTGTGTGTGGGCGTGTGTGTGTGTGTGGGCGGGTGTGTGTGTGTGTTGGGCCGTGTGTGTTGTGTGTGGTGTGGGCGGTCGTGTGTGTGTGTAGGGCGGGTGGTGTGTGTGGTGCGTGTGTGT